GTGTGTGTGTGTGTGTGTGTGTGTGTGTGTGTGTGTGTGTGTGTGTGGCCCCGTAGGAGACATGTGAGTGTCGTCGCTGTGTATTTGTTGTGTGAACAGGATTTATTTTATTTTAAATAGAGGGGGGGGGGGTCCTAACCCATTCTTCATCAGAACCACCCCTGAAGGGTCAGATAAAGGGTGAGAGGACAAGTGACGTCTTATATAATGAGTCTTTTTATTTGTTTGGGTTTTAGAAATTACTTTTTTTATTTTATTTATTTTTTCTGCCAATGAAACTGCAAGAGAGTGGACTAAAGGTGTTAGATGAGCGCACATCCGGAGCTGCACCCGAGGAGAGTGGCCCAGCAGCTGACGTGAACAAACGAACCACTGGATGGTACATTTCGGTGATGATGTCGCTCACCATGACGACGAATACTGTGTTTTTCCCGCCACAGGTTCTGTGATTCAGCCTCCGTCCCAAGCGGCTGTGAGACGGCAACATCTGAGGAGACACCCACCAACTGCTAATCCCCATCTGGACCACTTTTTTTAAATGCCATCGCACAGCAGCTCAATAATCCTGTCTCTCTCATAGGCTTCTAACTACAGCTGCCCGCTCCTCAGTCTACTGTCGTCCAAATGCCACATCCCCCCCCCCCTAGACACTTACTGTGTACCCGCATGTGCAGTGCAGCGTGCGAATGGGACTCTATACGGACAATCCAACAAGAGACAATGTTGTACAAAAAAAAAGTGGCACTTGTAGATAATGTACAATATGTTCTTTTTTCTAAATTTTTGTACCAGCCAAACCGCTGATATTTATAACTATTGCCTATTTATGTACAAATTGTTCCTCCTGTACATACTCAACGGACAGTTGGATTAAAAATCTTTTTGCAGTATTAAACGCTCAGGAGTGTCCGTTCTTCACTGCCTTCACAGATCTACATTAGCGCCTCGAGGTCCCTCGTGGTTCCGCCATCACTCTCTATGTTTCTCTAGAGTTAAAGAATGTGGAAATATTTTTCATTAGCCGACAGAAAATGCTCCCGCTGTAGTTAAACTCAGCGAGGTTGAAAGCGTTGAAAGTCAAGGCCGAGGTTTGTGATCATCCTCCACATTCAGCAGAGTGATTGAAGTTGTTTCAGATGGAAGAGCTACAGTTTATTGCTGGATAAAATCCATCAGGATGGCGACTTCGATCAGCCTTGAAATGAGGAATGCTGCAGAGTTGTCCCATTGTTTATGAAAGCTGATTCATTTAAAGTTGATTTGGGAGTCGTTTCACAAAACTATGACACTGTTTATCTTTATAGATTACATTGAATATGCAGTTTTGCCGTGTACTGACTTATTAAACGCAAAGAGCAACTCAACAGAGCACTCAAGTATTTGACTTTTAGTAAGTAAAAAGTCAAAGTAATTCCCCCCTCAGAAAGAGCCCATTTTTCATTGTTCTTGCAAGTGATTCAATCCGGCATGAATCCAAATTGGCTGCTTGACTGCAAATGCAAAGAACCGAACTAGTAGTGTTCGTTGGTAATGTGTCCCCCCCCCCCGTTGTGAATGCAATCAGAGGTGGCATCAAGCTGCCACACAAAGCCCAGTTTGTGAAAGGCGTTATTATTCACTGCGTCTCTGTATTGCTATTGTCCCTTTGGGGGTCGGGAGTGTCGTCTCCGCTGGTGGCTCGTCGACGGTGGCACCGAGGGAAGACGCAGATCGCCCGCCCCGGGCACGGCTGAGAGCCACTGAGTTCACTTACGTGCTCTCATACAGCAACCACTTTTATGGGAGCCAAAGTTTGGCTTTGTCACGAGGAAATTGGCTTTTTTCATTTGGTGGTATCATTCCCAAAAAAAGGCTTCCAGTACGTGATGCCTCAGGGACAGGGGCAGGCCCTCCTAAAAGCCTTTTGATTGTACCCAAGACTCCACGACTGAACAAAACACAATTCAGAACCAGACACAATTTCTCTTATCTGATTTGACATTTCATTGCTTTTCCACGCGTGTGATGTGCTTTCCTCCCCTGGCGTGATAGACTTTGATCGCCGGCTACTTTTTCCGCGGCCTTTTTCTCAAGGCTAACGTACCCAAACCTCAGCAGAGCCAGGTGTCCAATGTGATTTATAATGCTGAGAGGAGGCAGGGAGGGCTATGAATAACTGTAATGGAATTTAATCAGCATGCTTGTGGATTTGAAAGGACAAAGGTCTCGGGTTGTTATTGCCATGTTTTTTTGTTGTTTTATTCTTGAATGACGTAGAGCAGAGCCTGTGACTGTTGCTCCTGGTTTCTGCACAGCAGTTTATGTGGACGATGATTTTTTTTATAACCAATGAGAGAAAAGGCCGAGCTGAGCTGATCAGAGGTCAGTTACTGCGGACAGGAAGTGTTTCATAAAAGGCCAGGGAATTGATATTTATGGGTGTTTCATGAGTGTTTGATAAACTGGGCAGGGGGGAAAGTACTGTACAGCAGAGACAATGATATTTATGCTATTTACTGACCTTAAATCACTGTAACATATCTATGCATTAGTGCATGCGTTTCTCATTTTCCTTAAAAGACAATTTTGGTCATTTTCAACCCAATTACAGATCATGCTAACTTTGTATTTACAGCCACTTGTAGTGATTCAAGAAACACAAGTAGCACCAGCCTCCTAAAGCTTTCCAAATTTTCCAAATGTTTTTCTTATTCCAAATTTAGAATGTTAGCCCCTGGATTAGCTATTTTTGCTAACTGCACAGGGATCTACTTATAAGGCAACCAGCTGACTAGCCAACTAGCAAACTACGTATTCATCTGAAGTAATAAACGCTAACTTATCATTATATAAATAGCACAGCCCCCTGAATTAGCTATTGCAGCTAACAACCAGCCGGCTAATCAAACTAGCTGGCAGCTAGCATAACTACCTAGCCAGAGACGTTTTAATAATAACTGTAAAATCAGTTTACCTCTGTTGAAGTAGAAACAGGTTATAAAACGATAAGTAATCGATGTTTGTCATGTTGCTGGTTGGCTACCAGCACACGGATTCTTGTGCATATAGCAAAAATAGCTAATCCGCGAGGCTAACTTTGTTTACCATCGGTCCGATTCAGAGATTCAGTGTTATTAAATGATCTACATAAAATCTATTTTGGAAACTTTCTTCAGAGTATATGGCAAAGGTCAGTGACAGGGTTTGACTTTAATATTAGTTGAAGTTACTTTTAGTGAAGAGTGGCTGTTGCACTTTATCATTTTTTTATTGGTTAGGCCTATCTGACTGTTGTAAACCCATAGGTTACAACAAAAACAACACTTTCAAAATTCAATTTAACAGAGTTTGATTTATCCAGGCAAACCTAAATATCATATTTCGATAATCCATTATATACATTCATTCATAATGTAATGAAATGTGTGCATGCCTTCCATATTTGAAGCCAATATAATAACTTTAGCCACACTCTCACTACTCCAGCCAGCATTGCCATTCTGCATCCATCCACCAGATACCGTCAGACTCTCCCACCTGTCCCAGTCACCTGTTGCTCTCACCTATCACCTGCTCACCTGTTTCCACTTTACCTCATCAGTCCTGCAGTAAGCTGTATAACCGGCCTCCTTTTTTCCCTCATGGTCGGTCACATCGTTGGTGTTGCATCATTCCTTGCTTTCCAGCCATCTGGGGGCCTGGAGCCATGGACTCTGCCGGGATGGTCTGCATTTGGGTCCTTTCCCTTTGCTGACACTTTGAGAGGCAGATCAATGTCAGTAGTACAAAAATGCAGTTATTTATTAGGTACTGAAAGTGTCTAAATCACTGCAAATGAGTCCTCTGGATATTGATGTGATCAGCTGGAAGCCATGTTTCTGTGCTTTGTCTTAAAAGAAAGTTTTGGTGTCGTGGAGGTGGTCTTCTGTGGCTAAGTGGATCGCGGGTTCGATCCCCGGCTCCTCTAGTCGCATGTCGATGTGTCCTTGAGCAAGACACTTAACCCCCCCTGCTAAATGACTGTAATGTAATGTCTTTGATGCTGGATTCTCAGGGTCACCGCTGTCAAAATCTCAGTAATGTTACACACAGAGGCAAAAACATAATGAAAAGCTTCCTTGGTGTTCTGGAAATTATATTGTTTACAGTTTGTTTACAATTACTTTGAGTCTTCAATCATACAGTGAAGAGCCCCTGATATCTCAGAGCTGCCCCCCCCCCCCCTTCATGCTCACCGCTGAGTTATTCGCTGCTATTGTCTTATTGATTCCTCCACAGGAAATACTCAAAAGAGTTGAGCGTGACTGCCGACAAGGGGATTGCACGCTTGCTTTGAAAAAAAGCAAAAAAGCGGCACCCTCCAACAATGGCTGGATCCGGGCCAAGTCTTTTGAGCAGGCGGATCACTTCACATTATTGACCCTCCTTTGTACTCTAGTTGCTCATAATGCACAGTATATAAGAGCACAGACAACAAACGGCGCCCACCGCCTGAATGAAGCTGGGATCGCTGTCTGGGCTTCCTCCATCTCCTGTAATATCCTAAACACAATGACAGCAGAGCACGGCTGGGGTGTGTGTTTACGATTCCAAAGAATGCTAAAAATACTTCTTCATAGTTTTCCAGTCGCTCCAA